CTCCAAGCAGACACTCTATCCACTACACCACAGAGTTGGTCATCGATCAAACCAACAACCTACCTCTCTCTCCAAGTAGACATTCTATCCACTACACCAGAGTTGGTCATCGATCCAACCACCTACCTGCCACCCTCCAAGCAGACGCTCTATCCACTACACACCAGAGTTGGTCATCGATCCAACCACCAACCTGCCACCCTCCAAGCAGACACTCTATCCACTACACCACAGTTGGTCATCGATCAAACCACCAACCTGCCACCCTCCAAGTAGACACTCTATCCACTACACCACAGAGTTGGTCATCGATCAAACCACCAACCTGCCACCCTCCAAGCAGACACTCTATCCACTACACCACAGAGTTGGTCATCGATCAAACCACCACCTGCCACCCTCCAAGCAGACGCTCTATCCACTACACCACAGAGTTGGTCATCGATCCAACCACCAACCTGCCACCCTCCAAGTAGACACTCTATCCACTACACCACAGAGTTGGTCATCGATCAAACCACCAACCTGCCACCCTCCAAGCAGACACTCTATCCACTACACCAGAGTTGGTCATCGATCAAACCACCAACCCTCTCCAGGCAGACACTCTATCCACTACACCACAGAGTTGGTCATCGATCCAACCACCAACCTTGTCACCTCTCCAAGCAGACACTCTATCCACTACACCACAGAGTTGGTCATCGATCAAACCACCAACCTGCCACCCTCCAAGCAGACACTCTATCCACTACACCACAGTTGGTCATCGATCAAACCACCTACCTGCCACCCTCCAAGCAGACGCTCTATCCACTACACCACAGAGTTGGTCATCGATCAAACCACCTACCTGCCACCCTCCAAGCAGACACTCTATCCACTACACCAGAGTTGGTCATCGATCCAACCACCTACCTGCCACCCTCCAAGCAGACACTCTATCCACTACACCACAGAGTTGGTCATCGGATCCAACCACCTGCCTGCCTCCTCTCAAGCAGACACTCTATCCACTACACCAGAGTTGGTCATCATCGATCCAACCACCAACCTGCCACCTCTCCAAGTAGAGACACTCTATCCACTACACCACAGAGTTGGTCATCGATCAAACCACCTACCTGCCACCCTCCAAGCAGACACTCTATCCACTACACCAGAGTTGGTCATCGATCCAACCACCAACCTGCCACCCTCCAAGCAGACGCTCTATCCACTACACCACAGAGTTGGTCATCGATCCAACCACCAACCTGCCACCCAAGCAGACACTCTATCCACTACACCACAGAGTTGGTCATCGATCAAACCACCAACCTGCCACCCTCCAAGCAGACACTCTATCCACTACACCACAGAGTTGGTCATCGATCAAACCACCACCTGCCACCCTCCAAGTAGACACTCTATCCACTACACCAGAGTTGGTCATCGATCCAACCACCACCTGCCACCCTCCAAGTAGACACTCTATCCACTACACCACAGAGTTGGTCATCGATCAAACCACCAACCTGCCACCCTCCAAGCAGACACTCTATCCACTACACCAGAGTTGGTCATCGATCAAACCACCAACCTGCCACCCTCCAAGCAGACACTCTATCCACTACACCACAGAGTTGGTCATCGATCCAACCGCCAACCTGCCACCCTCCAAGCAGACACTCTATCCACTACACCACAGAGTTGGTCATCGATCAAACCACCAACCTGCACCCCAAGCACCTCTCTCCAGGCAGACACTCTATCCACTACACCAGAGTTGGTCATCGATCCAACCACCAACCTGCCACCCTCCAAGCAGACACTCTATCCACTACACCACAGAGTTGGTCATCGATCAAACCACCAACCTGCCACCCTCCAAGCAGACACTCTATCCACTACACCAGAGTTGGTCATCGATCAAACCACCAACCTGCCACCCTCCAAGCAGACACTCTATCCACTACACCAGAGTTGGTCATCGATCCAACCACCAACCTGCCACCCTCCAAGTAGACACTCTATCCACTACACCACAGAGTTGGTCATCGATCAAACCACCAACCTGCCACCCTCCAAGCAGACCTCTATCCACTACACCACAGGTTGGTCACTCGATCAAACCACCAACCTACCACCCTCCAGGCAGACACTCTATCCACTACACCACAGAGGGGTCATCGATCAAACCACCAACTTACCTGCCACCCTCCAAGCAGACACTCTATCCACTACACCAGAGTTGGTCATCGATCCAACCACCTACCTGCCACCCTCCAAGCAGACGCTCTATCCACTACACCACAGAGTTGGTCATCGATCAAACCACCCAACCTGCCACCCTCCAAGCAGACACTCTATCCACTACACCAGAGTTGGTCATCGATCCAACCACCAACCTGCCACTCTCCAAGCAGACACTTCTATCCACTACACCACAGAGTTGGGTCATCGATCCAACCACCTACCTGCCACCACCCTCCAAGTAGACACTCTATCCACTACACCAGAGTTGGTCAGCGATCCAACCACCAACCTGCCGCCCTCCAAGCAGACACTCTATCCACTACACCACAGAGTTGGATATCGATCCAACCGCCCACCTGCCACCCTCCAAGCAGACGCTCTATCCACTACACCAGAGTTGGTCATCGATCCAACCGCCAACCTGCCACCCTCCAAGCAGACGCTCTATCCACTACACCAGAGTTGGTCATCGATCCAACCGCCCACCTGCCACCCTCCAAGTAGACACTCTATCCACTACACCACAGAGTTGGTTATTGATCCAACCGCCCACCTGCCACCCTCCATGCAGACACTCTATCCACTACACCAGAGTTGGTCATCGATCCAACCGCCCACCTGCCACCCTCCAAGTAGACACTCTATCCACTACACCAGAGTTGGTCATCGATCCAACCGCCCACCTGCCACCCTCCAAGTAGACACTCTATCCACTACACCACAGAGTTGGTCATCGATCCAACCGCCCACCTGCCACCCTCCAAGTAGACACTCTATCCACTACACCAGAGTTGGTCATCGATCCAACCACCCACCTGCCACCCTCCAAGTAGACACTCTATCCACTACACCACAGAGTTGGTCATTGATCAAACCACCAACCTGCCACCCTCCAAGTAGACACTCTATCCACTACACCAGAGTTGGTCATCGATCCAACCGCCCACCTGCCACCCTCCAAGTAGACACTCTATCCGCTACACCATAGAGTTGGTCATTGATCAAACCACCCACCTGCCACCCTCCAAGTAGACGCTCTATCCACTACACCAGAGTTGGTCATCGATCCAACCACCCACCTGCCACCCTCCAAGTAGACACTCTATCCACTACACCAGAGTTGGTCATCGATCCAACCGCCCACCTGCCACCCTCCAAGTAGACGCTCTATCCACTTCACCAGAGTTGGTCATCGATCCAACCGCCCACCTGCCACCCTCCAAGTAGACGCTCTATCCACTACACCACAGAGTTGGTCATCGATCAAACCACCTGCCTGCCACCCTCCAAGTAGACACTCTATCCACTACACCAGAGTTGGTCATCGATCCAACCGCCAATCTGCCACCCTCCAAGTAGACGCTCTATCCACTACACCACAGAGGTGGCCAGGGGATGAAACCACCAATCTTCCCACGCTCCAAGCAGTGTTTGCAATACTTTTATTTGCCAGTTGGCCATCAGGCCCTGCTGCCGCCTGCAGGCCTTAAAAGCTACAGGCCCTGAATGAAATCAACAGGCCCGTTTTGTTGTTTCTACAAATCAATTAGCAAAGTCTATGACGCTGAGAGACGTTTGAATTTGCTAAAGACTGGTGTTGACATTCCTGTGCGGAAAGTGCTGAAATACCAGGAAGTGAAACTGTAAGCTATCGTAACACATGATGGATCATGGATGATTCCCGAACGTTAGTAAAGAAAAAAAAGAATAAACAAGGGAATGATTCGAAGTTGAAAAATAGACAGATAATATACTGAAGGCCACAAGGGCTTGCAGATATTTGAAACTGCCGGCCCGATACATAACAACCAGCGCTGGGCCTCCAGGCCTGCGATTATTTCAAATGCTGGCTCCAAGCAGACACTCTATCCACTACACCACAGAGTTGGTCATCGATCAAACCACCTACTTGCCACCCTCTAAGTAGACACTCTATCCACTACACCACAGATGTGGTTAGGGGATCAAACCAGGAACCAGACTACACTACAGGCAGATGATCAATCTGGGATGGCCAGGGGATCAAACCACCTACCTGCCACGCTTCAAAGCAAACGCTCTATCCACTACACCACATAGTTGGTCAGGGATCAAACCTGCCACACTCCAGGCAGAGACGCTGTCCACTAAACCATGGAGTCGTCATATAGCTGAAATATTGCTGAGAGTGGCATAAAATTGAACTCACACACCATGGAGGGGATTAGGCAACCAATTTTCCGCTTCAGGCAGATGCTTCATGCCCTGTATCTACAGAGGCGACCCAGCTTAATGGTAGGTTTGATATGTATGACAGGCAGCAAACAATACAAAGTCAAGTCACAATTTCAAATACCAACATAAGTAAAATTTAGTTTGCTAAGTTACCTTTTTAAAATGTCCATATGTCAAAAGTAAAATTTAATAAAAACAATGCCAAAGTACAGATTTAAGATTTTTGACACACTCTGTAAAGGGATTTTAAAACCCTGACACCAGTCCTTGGACTTTGTGACATACATTACATTTACGATTACACTTTCTCAGAAAACCCACACTCTGAGAGTCAGGCATGAAATCTCTGGCACTTAAAGTCTGCCATCTAACCCAGTCAGCCACTGCAGCGTCCACAAATATGGAAGACTGACAACTGGTAGTTTAGATCACATACTTAGTGTGGCCTTTGACAAATGTAAATAGGCAAAGAGTCCTTTCACATTTATTAGAATGTTTTAACCCCTAGTACACAACCAGAGCAATAAAACTTCAAACGAGTGACAAAAAACTTTCCATTCTATTTATTCCAGTCAACAACCAATATAACACACTTTTATAACAGCCTTAGGTGATATCACAGACATCTTTACACTGAGATTTTCCTCTTCTCAACCAGATTCTTGATGAAGAACTCTCCTGCTTTGTAAGAGGATCTGACAAGAGGTCCACTTGCCGTGTACACGAACCCCAGTTTGTTGCCAACTTCCTCCCAGTACTTGAACTTGTCAGGATGCACATACTCTTTCACTTTCAAATGACGCTTTGTGGGCTGCATATACTGTCCAAGTGTCAAACATTCAACTCCAATTTTCCTCAGATCTTTGAGAACAGCATAAATCTGTTCATCAGTTTCTCCTAATCCAAGCATGAGAGATGTCTTTGTGACAACATCCGGTCTGTACTTCTTGGCATGTTCCAACACAGACAGAGATTGTTTGTAGTTCGCTCTGGGATCACGTACAAACCGTTGCAACTCGGACACAGTTTCAATGTTGTGGGCAAAAACATCAAGACCGGAGTCAAGTACAACTTCTACTGCTTTTTAGATCACCACGGAAATCTGGAGTAAGACATTCAACCAATATAGACGGATTCTGAGCCTTGATCTGCTGTACTGTTTCAGCAAAATGTTTGGATCCCCATCTGCAAGATCATCCCTGTCGACTGAGGTTAACCACTCACGAAGTCAAGGCCCCATGATACAATAGCCTTAGCAGTGTTTAATGGTTCGTTTGGGTCTGGTGGCGGAGGAGCCCGAGATGTTTTAAACGGAGCAGAAACGACATCCACGGGTACACTCATCACCTAGGACCATTATTGTAGCCGCCGCGAGTACCGTGGTTCACCTCCACCCCAGCATTCTCCGATATTCGGGCATTTCGCTTCTTCACACACAGTGTGTAAATTCAGATCACGTAAGTTCTCCTTCAAACGACTGTAGTTTTTCCCCATTGGTATTTCAGTTTTCAACCATTTGGGCAAACGTAACCTCTCCCCTTGAACCTTCTTCATGCCTCCCTCGCCGTCGTAAGAGATGGGTAGGTCATCTGATATAAAGTCGGCGAGGTCAGGGCCTTGTGCAAGTTTCTCTTTCTGTGTATCGCTAAGAACTGCCCGACTTGCGTAAAATCGTCCGTGAGAAGTTTGAACGGTGTCATTTGGAACGGAGTTTGAGCGAGGTCTGTTTACTATTAAATAAGCACAAACACCTCTACTCGAGTGATTGATGACAGCTGTCTTCTGTAAAATGCGACTGGTGCACGCTTTCGTAAGACTTGCCGCCATTGTTGAAACTTCTGTGAAAGATGTATTACCTCAAGCGATGAAAACACGAGGACATGCAATAAACACCGACATTTCGGTCATGTCTCGTACGGATTGACTTCTTTGCAACTTTAACGAGTGACAAAATCGAGTAAATGCAAATGGAGTAGTGAAAGCTAAAACTGGTCGCACTGCTAATAAGCGCACTATGGGATGCGCAAAGATGGCGCACAGACAAAAGAAATTTAACCTGAATAAGGATCAAGTATTCAATCGAAAACAAGAATATAGAAATCAAAATCAAATCTTGCTAGGGTGAAGGCGGGTTTATCTAGACGTATTACCCAATAAACTCATCAAAACAACTCTGGAAAACCCGTGGTATATGTGGAATGTCAATCGTATCAATTTGGTATTTAAACGAATAGGTCATTTTACGTACCCTTGCCAGAGCGTAATACAGAAACGTACTCTTGCCAAAATCTGAATACAGAAACGTACTCCTTGCCAAATATCTATACAGAAACGTACAGAAAATCTGAATACAGAAATTACCCTGCCAAATCTGAATACAGAAACGTACTCTTGCCAAAATCTGAATAAAACGTACCCCTTGCCACAGAAACAGACCCTTGCCAAAATCTGAATACAGAAACGTAACGTACCCTTGCCAAAATCTGAATACAGAAACGTACCCTTGCCAAATCTGAATACAGAAACGTACTCTTGCCAAAATCTGAATACAGAAATATGTATACAGAAACGTACCCTTGCCAAAATCTTAATACAGAAACGTACCTGAATACAGAAACGTACTTTGCCAAAATCTTAATGCAGAAACGCACCCTTGTCAAAAGATCGTACCCTGCCAGAAACGTACCCCTTGCCAAACCTAAAACGCACCCTAAAAATCTTAATGCAGAAACGTACCTTGCCAAAGTATATGTATACAGAAACGTACCCTTGCCAAAAATGTATGCAGAAACGTACCCTTGTCAAAATCTGACACAGAAACGTGCCCTTGCCAAAATCGGTATACAGAAACGTACCCTTGCCAAAATCTGTATATATACAGAAACATACCCTTGCCAAATCTTAATACAGAAACGTACCCTTGCCAAAAATCTGCCAAATCTTAATACAGAAACGTAAATCTTAATACATTACTTACTCTTGCCAAAATCTGTATATGATTTAAACATATTTTATTCATGAAGATGAATTGGGATTTCAGTGAACAAGCATTACTGCTTATGTTAACATCGCCCCATGCAACGTATAATACAACATGAAATGGAGTGTTTGACGTCATCGATACTGACCATTGCATAAATATAATATTTTTAAATATATATAAATATATACAGATTACATGAAATACAACTATTCTCTAAATAGTCATAAGTTAGAGAGTTACAGTTGTGTGTGTCTAACAAGCCATTGTAGAAATATAAATCAATCATGAGAAGGTTGTTGAGTAAATTTAATTATTTTCCGGAGAAAATTTGAAGCGTTGTGTCTTGGTTATATAATCGTGGACGGATTCAACTATTTTCTGGTTTACACAGGGAGTAAGTTCTTTGTTTCCCTTAAGAATGGTATCCAGGTTATAACCGGTAGTGTAAAAATACATATTAAGTCTTGTCCGAGTATAGTTACGGCAAGTGAGGAAATAGTGTAGGGCGTTTTCACTCTGATGTCCACAAGAACATGGGCTGTCTATTAAATGTCTGTTATACTTATCGGCGTTTAGGTCGCTACATCCGAGCCTGAGGCGGCAGTGAACGATTTGGCAAAAAACGAGTGCCATAATTAAGGTCAAAGTAAATCTTATTTTCAGTTTTTGTAATTAGGTTCTTAAATTCTTTGAGACTACATGACGCTTTGGAATTTGGTGGGGCATTCCATAAATTTATTGTGGCAGGTTAAAAGGATTTAGCATAAGAGGCAGTGCGACTGTAAATTCCTTGTATTTCAGAGTTATTCCTCAAGCTGAAGTTTGTAGTTCCGGAGACGGAGTTTGGGATCAGGTCACAAAGATATTTTGGCAATTGGTTGTTGTACATTAAAAATGTATATAGAAACCTACCCTTGCCAAAATCTGTATGCAGAAACGTACCCTTGTCAAAATCTGATACAGAAACGTACCCTTGCCAAAATCTTAATACAGAAACGTACCCTAGGACAGGTCCATTCTGCATTGTGCCGTTTCTTGATCGGAACTGTCATACTGTTGTATTGGATACATATTTGATTGCGATATATATCTTACCCATCAAAAGTTTCGACTCACTAGTGTAAATGTAGCCACTTTCTTCAGTTGACTGTTCTAAACTAGATTTTGCAAAATATTCCATACTGTTTAAAGGTACTGTTTACACATGAACTGATGTATTGTAAAACAAATTCGTAACGTTGAAAGGTTATTGTCATGAGTTCAATAAATGATGAAACTCAGTGAAAACTGGTGGAGAAATTCATCTTCGATGTAACCTCATATATATACATAACATATAGTGAGTGCTTTAAGTGAGTCAATACTTTTATGGGTAGTATATGCGAAACGAACATACACAGTAGGGAATATTTCGCGATGCACAATATCACTGGCAATCAGTTGAACGGGAATAATTACATACGGTTTCGGTTTTGGGTTGCAGAATAAGTTTCTGATTTTGTTTAGGGAATATTTCTAAATACAGAAGCCTACCCGGAGTACACATGTGTAGTTCCGGTGCCAAAAACGAACCCTTCAGCGCTGTAAAGAATTTCCCATTCTCAACACCATCTACAAATGACATTTGAAATGTCAGTGTTTATCGCAGATCAGTGGGTTTAGTTTTACGCCGTTTTTAGCAATATTCCAGCAATATTACGGCGGGGACACCCGAAATGGGCTTCACACATCGTACCCATGTGGGGAATCGAACCCATGCCTTCGGCGTGACGAGCGAACGCATTAACCACTCGGCTACCCCACCGCCCCCTATCGCAGATCAATAGACCTAGACTGTACGGGTGGTTTATACGCAAGTACGTGTGACACGCGGAATTCAAAGTAATATTTCATGTTTTGTTTTCATAAGAACATCCCTCTTAGATGTCATCATCTGACTTGATTGTCTTCGCTCAAAGTGAGTCTAGTATACTCTAAGTTGTTATTTCTGGGAAAGCAAACTAGTCAGAATAAAGAGGGCTGTAGCGAATAAATGAAGTATAACCAATGGATTTATGAATATTCATAGCATGCCCAGAGCGCGGGAGTAACTTCCCCTGACATGTATATGAATATTAATTAGAGCAGCGCCCTCTATTTTGCAGTTGTCATTGTTTGCAGATATTATGCGTCAAACTTTATAATAACATTGGCTGCGATATACGTGCAAAGAAATTGAGGCATGCATGTATCTACAAACATCCAAGTACAGTTATTTTTTCTTGTGCATTTATAGAATATTTACTACATGAAATTGCATTTACGATTCTCCCTCCAGATAATCCAAGGGGGACAACTCTAAAGCTCCTCAAGACCCGACAGATGCTGTTTCTTGTGTCAAATGTATCAAATTTGTAAATATTTAGCTGTTACCATTGATGTAAAGTCTCACACACGTAAAGGTGGAAGACAAGTAAGTATTTAGGCCAACGTTAACGACTAAATTACCGTACAGAGGCCGTTTTCGTTGTGAGAAGTGGACACGCACCTCGAACAAATGCGTGGCCATTTGCATGAAACTTTAGCCGCCAGACTTTTTCAACAAAATTGTTAATCGTTCTTTAGAACTAACTCGATTTCAAGTTTACTAACGTTTTGTCTTTGAAATTAGTTGCTTGTTTCGAATACTAAAGATTTTCTGCATCAAAGAAAAAAACGAAGTGGCTGCTTTCGACAGCTGCTCGAGTGTGAAAACGAAGAATTTTTGCAGGTGCCTCTTGTTTGTTGAGGGGAAGAAAGACCTTAGATGAAAACCACGACTTGAGACCGTAACAAAGTGCTAAATATGTGGTTTTACTACATCGCCGAGTATCTGAGACAGATATGACTTTTCTATGAAATAGGAGTTACTAAGTTAGCATATGATTTATTAATCATTTCGTTCTTGATTGTGTTTATTTTTGGTGAGAGAGAATCCATTGTTCCCGTTTCAAAAGAAGAAAGATTTAGATAAAACCAGTGCCTATGTGATCATTTATATAGACATTGAGTGAACTGAAAGGATAGTTATCTTGTGAAGGCTGAAAATGCATTTTATCTAGATAGATTTTAGCAACAAAGAAGTTTCATAGAATGATATTCACTTTGCATGCTTGGCATTCTAAAGTTGAAATTTACTATTTAAGGTGTTACTAAACATTCATTCATTGTGGTGAATGTTATCCCTGCCCACATGTTGTATACCATGGCACAAGTTATATATCTCGCACATTGTCAGCCTCAGTATTGATTTGTTTAAAATGTTTATCAAAATTGGTCTATGCAGGTGCAGGTAATTTCTTATTATAACAGGGGGCACAAATGATCCATTCATCTAAAGCTCCAAATTTTCTTTGCCGAATGCATGATCATGGCACAGAACCATGCACATTTTTGTTGGTTTCTCCCAACTGGGAACCCAGCATCACTTTGGGGTTTCAACCCACATTATACTGGCACAGTGATATGACTGAAACACTATGTGAAGCAGAGTTTGTCTAAATCTCTCATTCTTATCATGTGATAGCCAGAATGAACTTTATTGGTTCCAAAGAATGGAGAGCTGGTGGGGAAGCCTGGTGGTTAAGGTGTTCGCTCGTCAAGCTAAAGACCCGGGTTCGATTCCCCTATGTGTGAAGCCAATTTCTGGTGTCCTCTGCCCTGATATTGCTGGAATATTGCTAGAAGTGGCGTAAAACTAAACTCACTCTCTTGAATTATTTCCAAGACATCACCTCATTAACAGTGGTTCGAGTTGCGAAGGGAGCTAGCTCTAGATACAGACTGGAGGTTAGTTTCATATCTAAAAGCGCATGAGGCTGAGAAAGCAATAAACTGCGTCTTCCATTACACAAATCATTACAATTATTGTACAGTTTAGCGAGTCATTTCCATCTGTATGAATAACAGCATTTTGCTTTTCGATTGTTAGATGTGTTTGTCAATATTACTGAATAATGAATTGTGGATCACTCACCAGCTGGTTGCTAGAGGTGTCGGGATGTGGGCCTACATTTTAATCAAATATTAATGAATCCAAGAGAGTCATCATATGTTGAAGTAACCAATATGTGAGATAGGAAAGGTGGGTGGGTAATTTCATTATCTTTGTTTGTAGATATAAAGAGTATTCTACATGAGAAATCAGGAACCAAACTGTATATTATTATAGGATATTTATATAGCATACATATCCACACAACCAGTACATGCTCAAGGCGCTGGATTGTTCCCTTGATCAGTGGATGTCTTTTTCTGGCATTGCTTTTTAACCAGCTCAACTCCCTGGGGAGTATTCAACTCATGCAGCCTGTTAGGCACAGCTAGTTATCACTCCACCTCACCCTCACAAGGTACAGAGTTGCAGCTGGGTGAACTGGGACACATAGTCACAGTATTTCGTCCAATGATACTGTACATTACAGTAATACTTTACCCATAACTAGGTGTCTGCACGTGTTCGTGTGTCCACCATCTGGTCACCTACCATCAGATGAGTGGGTTGTTTTTAGTGCAAAGGGTTGTGTACTGCACACTAGGGTTTGTGACAATGTTGAAAGAGCCTGCAAGTAATGTTTGCTCAAAGGTTTTTACACCTGGTCACAGGTTGGGACCGATCCAGGCACTTTTTGCTTTCTAGCGCGGCGCCTTGGACAGCTCACCCACTATGCCCCACAAAAACAGAATAGTGAAAACAGAAATGTGGGCCCACTTATCTTTTTCTTTGTAGAGGCTTTTGTGAATGGGCCCTTATTTTTAACAAAGAGTAAAACTACAAATCCTAGCATTTAAAAAAAATATATATTGACTGTAGTTATGCAAAAGAAAGAAAAACAAACTTACCAACAAAACTGTAGGCAGAAATGTGGGTACACTTTTTAAAAATTCTGTTTAGCGACTTTCTGAGTGGGCCCACTTCTTAAAATTATACTGTGTAAATATATTCTTCTTAACTTAAAAGAATTACAATTGAAAACATTTTGAGCTATAAAAAACGAACTCATGTGAAAAGATTTTATTCATTCAATTTCAAAACAAGATGCAGCATATTTTTTTACCCAAACGTGTAAGGCCCAGTGCAGCTGTCACTAGGCAACTGACGTCAGTAGCAATTATTTCAACTTTTGTATTCCTTCTTTTCACTGAAATCAATCACTTATTGTCAGTGATCAAAAATGCAGTTTGAAATTTGAAATCAACAAGTCTGTCATGATTATCAGTATAATTGGGTGTGATTATATTGATAGGAAGTTTATCATATTTCACACTGAAGCTGAAGAAGACTTTTCACACATTTTAGATTAACGCTATATTCTCAGAACCCTTTCATGTACTATAATGATTACGATACAATAATAACGCTGTAGAACATTCCAAGCAGAAATTCGGTGTTTAGCATATGACCCCAATCAATATCATCAAAGGTCAAAATCTCAACCAATGGCATCATTTGCAGCAAAAGTAATCATGTCGTTTGCTATTATTTTACTATGTAGTAACTATTTCATGCATTTTATATAAATAAGTGAGGCTTAGATTGTATTTATGAGTATTTATTCCGTCAGATATCTGTGATTTCTTGTCAATAACGTTTCAAATGATGTTTAGTTTCGAATGTGGGCCTACATTCGCATGTGCGATGAAGTGAGAGAGCAACCTCCCTTGAACCACTGATAATGCGGTTTCGCCCTCCAAAAAATGGAATCACTCAGGGATTTAGACTGAATACTGTCAGCTCTTCCATGCTCTCATTAGGGATTGCCAGTGTTCAAATTTGCATTAATGCTGTAATTGCAGACACTGTTCTTTATATCAGTTTTAAAACAATGTTAGGATGAGTAGAAATTACTTCAGTTGAAAGGTAAAATGTGTACATAGAAACTTGCTTTGGAATGAAACTTTGTGTAATTATAGTTTATGAATATGTGTAAACCTGGTTGTCATATGGCTGAAACAATGCTGATGTGATGTTAAATTTTAACTAGCTCGCTCACTCACTCACTCACTCACTCATTCTCTCATGACATTGGTTGACATGTCCATGTATCCCAGTTGCGTAGATCAATGCTCATGCTGTTGATCACTGGATTGTCTGGCCCCAACTTGATTATTCACTCACTCACTCACTCACTCATTCATGACATTGGTTGACATGTCCATGTATCCCAGTTGCTTAGATCAATGCTCATGCTGTTGATCACTGGATTATCTGGCCACGACTTGATTATTTACAGACCGCCGCCATAGAGCTGGAATATTGCTGAGTGAGGCGTTAGCAACAAACAAACTAAAAGCAGCTTCAAGTCATAATCACTTACTAAAACAACACCAAATATTCAATGATGCAATGCTTGATATTCCCTATCACATAAAAAGTGTTTCGCACAAGATATGGGATGTATGAAATTATAGCAGTGTTTAGAATCATGTTTACTTTTGCTGATATTCCGGTCCATCTGCTGTAATTCATGCATACAGAGTGAGTAATTTACATCACGGTCCTATGGCCATGTGTTATTTGTCCTAACACAACCACATTGTGTCATTGCAGAATGGCCAACAAGAACAAAGAGGAGAAGTTTTCCAATCACCCATGTCACAGACTCAGTGTGCCCGCAGCAAAACGCTTCTGGTGCCGACACTGCTTCGAGATGTTTGACGACCCCATTTCCAGATGGAGGCACAGCAAATCTTGTAAGAACACCAGCCTCAGCAACATGACCAGACGTCGAGAACAGGAGGCGTCAGCTCTGGAGGCGTACTGCGAGTCCACAACAGGGAAAAAGATGGACAGTGATGGCAGGAACGTTGTCTTGCCAAACCTCAACCCCAAGACAACCAACAAGGCGTATGCTGGACCCAAGGAGAACAACTGGGTCGATCTCAGCTGCTTCATATGTAAGAAGCAGTTTACAACCATGGAGGAGATGAAGGATCATGTCCGAGTCCCGTGTAACAAAGTTATTCCAGTCACCAGCGATGATGTGTTCCCCTTTGCTACACGTTCCACCCCAAAACCATCTCCACCAGATATTATCTACCACGGCGGCAACAGTCGACAAGGAGCCACGCCAGCAGGAGCAGTGTATGAATTGGAAGACGATGCTCCCGTAGCCAGTAAGAGGACACCATCACCCCTTGACCCATCCAATCTTTCCAGTGAGACCATGGCAGCAGTTGAAGCTCTCAACATGATGGCCCGATCAGACAAAGTGAATCTTACTCAGTTCCTGAATCAGTTGTCTGAGGGAGGGTTTGTCATAGAGCAGGCAGCAGGGACGTCGTCCAGTAGCGACTCGCAGGACCGCGAGATCGTCTTTACCGTCCAGGGTGATGTAGGTGAGGGGAACCTCCTGCAGCAGGGAGGAGATATTACAGTAGAAGTAGCAGAGGATCTGATACGGATGGCACAGCGGGTGAGAGTGGAGGCAGTGGAGAGAATCGTTGAGGAGCAAGTGCAGGAGGAAGTGGTTCAGGAAGACCTGGTTCAGCAGACCGAGGTTCAGTACATTCAGGATCACAGTCAATACATCCAGGAACAGGCCCAGTACATAGAACAGGCTCAGTATGTAGAACCGCAGAACCAGTATGTCCAGGAACCAGCACCTCAAGAACAGATACAGTTCGTTCAAGAGGAGCCTCAGTTCGTTCCAGAACAACCTGAGTACTCCACAGAGGCAGCAGCAGCAGGTGATCAAGAGTCAACCTACACTATTGTAAATATGGAGACGGGGAAGCAGTCCAGTGAGGCAGAGCAGGCGATAATCAGCGAGGCCCAGCTTTCTAACGTCAGGATAGAGTCCTTGACGTCCGACAACGCTCAAATTCTGGTGGTGCCAGTAGACCAAACTGTTGTCACCAAACAGGAAAGTAATAGCAATGCAAGCATTCCTGGTAGTAAGAGAAAGCTAGATGAGGACAGTTCTGTAGCTGAGGGAGAAGTGCAAGTCAAACTTGAAAATGGGTCTCAGGTGAAAAAACTATGCATGGAAGTAGTGACAGAGCAAAATGTAGAGGACTCTAATATTAATAAAGAGGCTTTCGAAGCTAAAAAAAAACTTCGATTTTACAGTGAAGGTTTGACTGTGCAGGAAAAATGCAATAAAAATTCTGAACCATCAGAAAAATGCACTTTGGAGACTAGTTTAAAACAGCCATGCGATAATGTTGAAAATTTGTCAAAATTGCCGCATCAGGAAACAACTGAAACTCCTAGTCATTTATCTGACACACACACTGATACAACTTTTTTAGATGAAATTGATGGCTTTTTCAAGCCAGTGACCGAAGATATGATGAAAGTTGAGGAACCTACTATAGATATTAGTGCATTAATGACTGTTGAAAGTACGAGCCCTGAAAATAAGAGTCATGCTAAAACAAGCCCTGAAAAAGAAATGACCGCAATCAAGAAGATGCCATGCCGAAAGAGACCACCACCAGCTTCACCTAAGAAACTCCGATCATCATCACGCAAATTGGTACTGACCCCAAAGAAACGAAGACTTGTTGAAGAAAAGGAAAAGGTGACCAAGAAAAAAAAAATCAATGAAAACAGCTTGAAAGCTAAGACACAGCCTCAGAAGGTCAAACCAAAACCAGCTGAGTCACCCCCAAAGAAAGAATCTGTCCCAGCACCTGAAGGAAAACCCAAAAAAGTACATCCTCCAAGACCCCTGAAGTGTCGAGCTTGTGAAAAAGTGTTTAATTCCGTAAAACTACTTCAAAAGCATAAGAGTGTTCCATGTGTTGTGAAAATCACTCGTAACTTGTGCCAAAAGATTTTGAGACCAAAACGTGCCTTGCCTAGACCTCCTGAGAAGAAAGTCGTCAAGAGGAAGCCTGTGAATAAAGACTCAAAGAAACCCAAACTGTTGCCTGTTGGTTTCCGAATACAGGCACAGTGGATCCCGTGTAAAAGGGATAGAAAATCATCAAAAGGCAGAGGAAGACCACGGAAACAAAATATTCACTATGAGAAGAAGAAACGCATCATCTTACCAGACAGGACGATTGAAGTTTCATCTTTGTGTGAAAAGGAGCAATTTTTCTTTGAACTTGGTTTAGTATGTTCAGATTACATCCTGAAAGAGTTCCGCCGACCTTTGCCCCAAGTGGAGATAACTACCTCTTTATCTGTGAGCATTGAGAACGATATTTCTGACAAGTCATCCTTGGTGACATTTCACCCCCACTGCTGGAGAAGATGGAGCCAGTGGATGTTGGAGAGATGGAGTCTTCACAACCACCAGACTTGACCTGTGAGGAGGATGGGGAGCTGGAGCCACCATTGCTAGAACCAGTGCATCTTGGCCAGGGGGGAGAGCATGGAGGAACGAAGGAGGATCAGGAAGATGGATGTCAGGTTCCAGCTTCAGAAGATCCATCTGTCAAATCAGAGAGACATTTCTTAGATTCCTTCGTCTCTGAACATCCCATTTCTGACGATGATGCTTCTAAGGGTGTTCCTGATCGTCACTTCTCTGATGTTGTTCTACCAATGGACAGCGAAGGGATGGTGCAGTCTTCCAAGCAGCCAGATATGATTCAGCAGCTTAAATCAACGTTAAAAACTTGTTCTCCCCAGAAAGCTGTAAGTGCTACGTCAAGTCCAAAATTACAAATGCCTGATATCACATCTGATATCTCTCCACAGTCAAAGAGAAACCTGTTTGAAACCTTACAAACCATGTGTTCTAGTTCACCAAAGAAAGACTGCATCAGTCCCTATGCCAACTCCCCCAATCTGAGTGTAAGTGCTCTGTGTACATCAGCAGGTGCAAGCATGACTGTCAGTTCCTCCACCAAATCAAGTCTCAGTTCTCTCTCACCAAAGAAATGTCTAAGTACCAACTCTAGTCCAAAAAAGACCCCGAACATACTTGCCAGAAAAGCGTCCTCAGAATCAGGAGCCAAGGATCGTGGTAGTAGTATATTGGACATCGTAGCTGAGAGCATGGGTTTAAATGACACTGGTACTGATAGTCCAGTCAGGTCCCCTGCTACGACAATAGTGTCACCAAGCAGAGACAGCCATCGGTGTAAATCTGTTGGGCAGAGACACATGGCCACAGAAACCTACCTCCCTGTTCAAAACTGTAAAAAGAACTTGTTTGAAAGTTGTGAATCTCTTCTTCCATCAAATACCCATGACAGGTCTAGAAGTTTGAATAATATTTGCAAAACGAACTCATTCCAGTCTGAGTCGACAGGTCACAAAGACATTTCTCTGGTAGGTAAAAGCAAAACCTTGGATCAAATCCGGCCTACTGTGTCTCTAACACCATCTAAATCTGGACAAATAATTGTGAGTCCTATTCAGCGGGAGAGCTGCAGTGGTGTCAAGCGAAAGCTATGCGATGCTGCTACTCAGTGCGAAGGCATGACAAGCTCCTCCCCAGTCAAGACGATGCTGGGTCAGCTGGAACAGAGATTGAAGCTGCTGAAGTCAGCTCTTCGGAACCAGAATGGAGTTCAGCAGGACACGGAGGACAGTCTCAAGACAGTGTTGAAAGACAAGAAGGACCTTCTACCACAGCTTGTATCTGTGTTATTGAAGCATGGTTCAAGTGACATCGATAAGAGCCCTATTGGGCTCCATGCAAAGAAAATGGTAAACGCATGGACAACAATCTTCCAGATGTTGTGAAAAGTGTAACAGAAAAGAGTGCAAGTCGGGATGTCTCTCGGATCACTGCCGATCATGCAGATGACAGCCAAACTGGCAGCTCTTCATGTCTTGAGAAATCAGCTTCGAGTGTATCAACGAGCTGCAACATAGACAAGCAGGAAGTAGATGCTGATGCAAAGAAAACCTTTCCCGAAGAATCATCCACAGACTCTAGTAAAGTTACTGTTCAGTATATCAATCAACTTGAGCCTAGCATGGCCAATGGGGTAACCTACCTGCTGATTCAGCAGGAAGGCATGGAGGACTACCTGAAAACCTGTTTAAGTAGTGACCTTGACCTTGAGTCAGGGGAGACAATCCATGCAGTGAGTATCGATGAGGAAGAAGTGCTAACAGACTCTTTATCAAACAGCCTCTTTGGCAACAACAGTGTCACACGAAAAGTTGATCATGAAGTGTTTGTAAACTCATCTGGGTTTTAGGAACAGTGAAACATGACATAAATAACTGCTGATTTTTCACGCCATAACTGACACTAGGAATTCATTTTCACAAGAATGAAATTTTAGCAAGAAATTAATTTTCCAAATTATATATCTTACTTTTAAAAGCCAGTGAATTATTGTTTTGAAAGACTTTTCCTTTTGAGTATACTACTCAATGTTTGCTAAGGGCAACTCTAAGATGACTCTTGAACCTTATGAAATTTTGAGTAGTGTAGTAAAGGGGAAACTTTCTTTAAAAGAAGTATGTCTTCTAATTAAAGTAATCTTTTTGTTTAACACATGTTAAGAGTTAAAACTCACTGGTACTCTATGGGTGATTTGTATCCCTTTGCAGGAAAAGAAACCTTTGTAAAATGTAACAGATTATTCAATTAATACTGAAAGTATTTATCAAGCTTATGTTTAATTTTGAGGTCTCTTTAGACCCCCAATATCTGTTTAACATTTGGACTGATGAATTAAATATGGCTGCAGTGTGTTGGTGTAAATCTAATGGAGTCTTAGTGTCAGTTATGGGGGACTCGTGTACAGCAGATAGTGTGTGTTGGTGTGTTCATGTGGATACTGTTGTGAAGGGAAGACCTGCAGAAGGGAAGTGACAGGTGAAACTGTGTCAAGGATGTGCCAGTCTCCAATCTCTGTCTCTCTACATTATTACTAGCTGCACATTGACTTAGTATCATAGTGGTGTAATGATACAGCATTAAAGTACTGCATCCAGATACGAGGTGCACGATACGATACATCTATATTCAACACAAGCATCGCAATGTTTCGATTGATCGCATTACAGTACATGTTAAATTGATGTATAAACGTGATAAGTAACAGAACCGGTTCAAGAACCAGATTCTTTAGTATTTTCTGAATAGCAGAATCTCCACAGCACCCCAAAGCCTGTATGTTTCGCCCTACAATATCCCATCTTTGCTAATGTTAAAACAAATGATTCTGCGTTGTTACAAAAAGGGATAGAATATGAAATTATGAAATAAAATTACTGTATCAGGATATAATTTATACCACACCCATGTGTTAAGTAAATATATCGGATAGCAACCTTGCTGTATCATTGCACTGCAACATATTAATCATGATGGCTTTTTCCTTTTTTCAACTATTTTAGTTCATTATGCAACAGGTTGTGTGGACTGGAAGCATGTTCTACGTAGCAGTAACTCTTTAGTTGGTATTTAGAAGAAGGAAAAACATGATCACATGCAACTATTTCTGGATAACAGCTTTATTATATTATAGTTGAGTATCTCAAGGCTACTTCTTAAGCTTTCGTCAGGAATTCCACAGGGACGTAGCTACCATTATAAAAAAAAGTACGGGCTTACATATGATTGTTGCTAAAAAGGCTGGGCAAGCCCTCAATACTGTCTAAATATAAAGCTTTGCAACCTATCGGGCTTACACGAAAAAATTGGCTTGCTACGCGCCTGTTCCACATGAGTGAAGCACAACCTCTGGCCCTGAAACTTTTACAAACAAGAAAGATGTTAGACTTAAACAGTTTCATGTCATCATCCAAAATATGACAGACCTTTTCCCCCCAGTTTGGTGTAAAGTACAAAGTGTGTAGACAAGAAATGAACTGAACATTCTTGCCTGTGTTACAAGAAATAATATGTCAAGTATTAATACTGCCTCATGTTTTCTTCCATTAGCCTGATGTCCGTTTTTTTATCAGTATTCAGTATTTTTCTCAGTGGTTAAGTATTTGTGTATTGTTGGTAGAGATATGGAGGTGCCACTCCTAGATAATCCAATGAGAGGGACGAGGAGAGGATGTCTCATCCAAAATGAAACTTTTGGGGTGAAAGGGGCCACAGTGTTTATCTTAACAGAATGGCTTTATAACACGCTGGTGGATTTCTAACACTGTCACTTTAACTCTGAAGCATGTTTGCTGTCACTGACTACATCAGTTTGTATTTAAGGTTTAGAGGAAGGTATCTGTGAGAGCAGTATGTTAAGTCACCCTGTGTCACCAGCGCCGGGCAGAGCCAAATGACCTGTCTGTACATAGAGGTAGCTTTTGGAGATTGACAGTACACTGACCTGCTTGATGTGTGATGTAGCTGTGTAATAAGAGTTGCATTTAGAGCTAACTTAGAGGCGTAAGGTTTGTAAGGATTGTTTAAGCATCAATTTATGCTTCCTTCTTAAACAAATTTCTTGGGCTGGGACGATGCATAAATCCATATATGTAATGCAAAGTCAAACATGATATACAAGACAAAGCCACAATGTGATACATATTAAGGTACCATGGTTATCCTATGTTAAGTTTAGTGTTAACAAAATAAATGTTGTCCAGCAACCCATACTTTTGGAGTGAGATGCACAGAAATTCATTGAGCGCAACCATATGAGAGAGACCTGCTAGAAACAGTACATTCATTTCAAATCAATATGTGATCTCTAATATAGTAATTGCATCGAAACTAATGATACTTAGATACCAACCATTATTGGGAATGGGCCGGTGGGATAGCCAGTGGTTAAAGTGTTAAGCTCGTCATAGTCCGAGAAGACCTGGGTTCGATTCCCCACATGGGTACAATGTGTGAAGCACATTTCTGGTGTCCCCTGCTGTGATATTGCTGGAATATTGCTAAAGCAGCGTAAAACCCAACTCACTCACCGTTATTGGTCTAAATGTATCTATATGTAAGGTATAAAGCTTGTCCTTGGTATGTTTCATGAATTATTGTAAAATCACCTCAAAATTCAACTTCTTAATGTATGAATGACATGAAGCAATCTGAAGTCAAGCCTATGCCTACTTTCGGGTCATGCTTTCAGTTCACAGTTACAAAACATCCATTACTCAGTATGAGTTCCTGATAGATACATCAAAATGATTTGGTGAGGTGAGGTGAAATTGGAGTTTCATGTAGTGCTTGAGAATATTTAAGCTCATATGGCGACGTGCATGCGTGTGTATGTGTAAGTGCGGCTGCTTGTACTAGCCCAGACTGAAGCTGGTTTTATAGTGCTAGCCCACTGAGATACCATACCGCAGTGAAGCATGAATACCCCACTCAGACACATTAAACTGACTCCAATTCGACCAGTCCTTGTACCCTTTAATGCCGAGCGCCAGGCAGGGACCAACAAGTACCAT